GTTTCATCAAGGGCATAAATGTAATGTTAAGTAATATTAATAACAACCAGAATCATAACAATGTAATATAACTATATATTAGAAAGATAACTGTATTTTATTTTGCTTACAGTAACATAATTAAAAAAAAGGAAACAATGAAAATCACCAACAATGAGATACACCAATAAAAATCGATTTGTACCAAAAAAAAAAAAGTTTTATCAATATATTTCAACAGGGTAACTATTTACAAATCCAAATATATTGAAAGACATAAAGGCTACAGAGGAAATAAAAAACGTATATTAAATATTGACCATTGGACAAGATGGAATTTTAAGTCCACCTGTGTTTAGGATATTCAGATAACTTCCATATTTATTTGAATAATCAGTTGTGTCATTATAAATTTTTGTTTCACATTTTTGCATATAGCCGGCTATGTTAGCTATAACCACTAATATAGATTTATTAACTGAGCTTTTAAGACCATCAATATTATCCAGATTTTTCATCAGTAGAAATATCTCTACAACATATGTCACAAGTATGACCATCAATACCATCTACAGAAATGCCAAGCTGTAAAATCAATTTAGTTAAAAATGAATTTTTTTCAACTTCAGATTTAGTATTTATAAAGTAAGTACCTCCAGATCCCTGTCGAAGCTTAAAAAAAAAGTTTTTTCAAGTGGACCTGTTGAAAATCAATCTATTATAACATACTTTGCTCCATTACTCAACAAAGTTTTTACTAGATCAATAAAGCCTCAGCATGTATGCGCTATTGAATTGCTGCATAAGTTGTTTTACTCGCTTACCTGCAGGTTTCATAAAATTTGACAGCTCAACAATACCTTGTAGCAGTTGTAAATGACGATCACCAACTGTGGATTTCTCCACATAATCATTTCTAAACCAAATGTCATCACCAGTTTTATATAAAGTTTCCGAATCACACCATTTAGCCAAAGCCGGTTCTCCATTGTGCAAAAATTAAAGGTCGCCAGCCTTTTCTGTCAACTAATTGTTTTGTATACAGGGGTGGGACCGCAAAATGTGAACACTTTTCTGATTGTAATAATTAATTTTCTGTTAAATATGAACTATTTTAAATAAGAATGTCCAATGGTTGGACATTCTTATTTAAAATAGTTCATATTTAACAACTCTTTAGACACTTTCTGATGAGTGAGAGAGTACAACTACATCTAACGAGAAAATAGTTATAATAAAACAAAAACGTTCACATTTTGCGGTCCCACCCCTGTAGATTTTAAGAGATACACATAATCATATAATAAATATATACCTGATAATCATGGTTTACTATCAACAGTTTTAAACATTTCAAAAAAATTATTGATTTACACAATTACCATCAGTAATTATTGTCAGCGTCTTATTATTATCAACATAACTTATTGTATCAACAATTTGTTGACATTGAGCAAACTAGAATTCAGGGGAAAGATTTGCAACAGGTTGAACTCTATATAAATTTTGGGACTCCAAAAATTTATTTATTCATAAATGATAAAATTGTTTTAGCTAACTTTCCAGGGTAGTTTACTGCATGACCAAATAAAGCACCTCTTTGGTAAAGTAATGAAGCTTTGACATAAACCTCATCAATTAAACGTATGGAAGTTATTTTTAATTGATCTTAATTCATAAAAATACTATTTATGAAATTTAGGTCTTCCATTGAGCTTATTTTTGAAGTCAATTGTGTTAAAGTTAACACTGCAAAAGTTTGACAATATCATTGTCAACTTTTAGAATGTTAACTTTTACGTCTTGAAGTTGCGCTATCTAATTTATAAACCAATCGAATTTTAAAAAAGCGCGAACGCAAACTTTCGTCATAAGGTAAAAGATGAAAACGTATTATAAATCGGATAAACAACTTTATTGCATAATATCAAGGCCTGTTATTATTGAATACCATGTTATATCCCAAAAGTTTTAGTTCTGGAATCATTTTAGTGGCTCTTCTTTAAACTTTTTTGAGTTTTTTGATATTTTTAATGAAATAGAAATACTAAGCTTGAATTTCTTTTTTTACTTGTACGTCAATGACACTTGCACGTCAATTTTTTTACTTGTACGTCAATGACAATAAAATTATTTTTTCCGAGATTATATTGAAATTATTTCAAAATGACATAAAAATTTTCATGAATGGTCGTATGAATGGAAATTGGGGTTGAATTTCCAGAAATATAAAACAATGGGTTTTGGTGCAAGTAAAAAAAGATGTCTTTATTATAAATCCATTGCTTTATATTTCCATTCATACGACCATTCATGAAAATTTTTATGTCATTTTGAAATAATTTCAATATAATCTCGGAAAAAATAATTTTATTGTCATTGACGTACAAACAACATTTATCAATAAATCTACTTGATAAATTATTTACAAATATCAAGAAAAGGAGTGGGCCAAACACAGAACCCTGTGGTACCCCACTTAATAACCAACTCAATCTATTTTGCATTATCCCATAACCACTCTTTGTTTTCAATTCGATAAGAATGATTTAACCTATTTAAGGGGCATGCGCACAATACTTAATGGATAATCCTTAGTACATAGTTTTATGCGCGATACTCTATTTAAAGCTTTCTGCAAGCTGTTATGTAAAATATCAATTGAAATACCATTTGGTATATAATATATATACCATTTGGTATATAAAATATCAGTTGATACACCGTTGATTTCAACTTACTCCCTTGTTTAAACAAAAGCATTATAATTGTTTTTTTCTAAATATTAGGTAGAGTTCCATTTTCGGAAGATTTTTTAAATAATAAATGTAAAAGATATGAAATTGCTAACCTGCATTGTTTAAAAACAAATGGATATATCAAATCAATTCCAATTGATTTCGATGTTTAAAGAGCATTTAATCTTCTGTTAATTTCATTTTGCGATATATCAACATCTTCCAGTAATATATCGACATCTTCTAATAACGCGTGCGGTTGATAATTAACAATATTAATGTTTAACTTTTTACATAATACAGGGGTGGGACCGCAAAATGTGAACGTTTTTGTTTTATTATAACTATTTTCTCGTTAGATGTAGTTGTACTCTCTCACTCATCAGAAAGTGTCTAAAGAGTTGTTAAATATGAACTATTTTAAATAAGAATGTCCAACCATTGGACATTCTTATTTAAAATAGTTCATATTTAACAGAAAATTAATTATTACAATCAGAAAAGTGTTCACATTTTGCGGTCCCACCCCTGTACATTTAAAATACAACTTTTTCTTTACAGTTCTTGGTGGCTCTAATTTGAGATTTTGCAGATTTCTTCTCATTTATTATTGTTGTTATCGACTTGGACTACATAGACGAAAAGTCGAAATTAGTCGGCTTTGAAAAATCGAATAGTCGATTTAATTGACTATGGACTTCCTACTTTGACTAAAAATTGATTCAGTCAAAAAAATCTTAAAATCCTTATATCGTTTGATTCAATTTAACTTTTCAATCTTTAACTTTTGCTTGTTAATTTAATAACAATAGTATATACTGTTATAACTATTTACTAAATTTTTTTTTTCACTCTCTCAAAGTTTTATCTAATTCAAAGCATGCTAGCATTATTTATACCTAATTAAACTTCCGATTATGTATTTTATTAGTTATTTTTTTCTTTTGTTTACTCAATGATTATGATTTACATAAACACTTTCATACAGGACCGCTCCAAGCTGGCTCAGGGCTCTGGAGCAAATCTAAATAATGAAGCTCCAAAATCTAAATTTCAATTATACAATCACATTGTAAATATAATTGTAATGACTTTTTGATATATAGCAAGTATTTAAGACGGTCTCTAAATCATTGGGGTCTGGGAATCGATTGTCCCGTTGTTGGCGCAGCTCTCCTCTCGCTCTAATATTATCTTAATGGGATTATATTAAGAATAGAAAGCAAATATAAATTACTTTATTATTTTTCTTACTATTTATTTCAAAAAAACGAATTATTCCCAGACTTCAACAAAATCAACTTTTTGTCAATTTCAAAAATGTATTAATCAATTTAGTCGACATTAGAAAATATATTAGTCAAATTAGTCGACAGTTGAATTGTTTAACGGTCGTAACATCTCTATCATTTATATACGTATAAAGAAAAAGTTTAACATTTTAAAATTTTTTCAAGTCACCTTTTCACATAACGATAAATTTTGAGCAATTCTTAAATATCTATTTCGATTATATATATCTATTTCAAATTTCCATAATAATTGTGATTCAAATGTTATACATTTGAATATTTAAAAGATATAAGTTATTGACTATTTTAAGCAAGTATTTGCGATAAATTTTGCGATCAATTTGATGTTGCTATTGATTTCGGAACCTAATAAGTTGTTGTTTTGGTGGTTAAGTAATGGAGGAGGCCTATAAATTGCACTTAGTAAGAAAGAATAGTCGTTTGTAGTGAGTGAAAGACAGAGTTGTTCAGATGCCACAAGTGACAATTCAGGCACTGCCTCACCTTCGATTTGACTTGCTATAAAAATATTTAAAATGTAAACTACAACGCCCCCATAACCGTCTACTCAGATTTTGCGAAGGAGGTTGTAGCCTGTTAAAAGTAATGCTGATTTTTCTGAGAACCAAGTTTCAGTTTCAAAAATTACATAAATGGTGTTGAAAAAAGCGACTGCAGATAGTTCTGCTAGTTTATCAGAATTCAGGGACGTGGCGTTTTTATATGAACAGCCTAATAATGAAAGAGGATTATATTATTTGCCGATCCATTACTAGTTGTCGGTATAGATGTTGTCAATGTGGGGTTGTTTGGCTTGAGATAGTTATATGTGATCAGATTATCTATGGATTGCTATTGTTTAATTGATCTAATTTGGTGTTGATTGCAGTCTTACTTAAGTAGTATCATCTTTATTTTCTGAGTGTGTATACATGTATACAACATAAAATTTTTTACACACCTTTTTAGTATACATATAATACTATTATTGTAATATTATTATGTATAAAAGTTTATCATATATAAGCCTTAAAGTTAATATCTAATACAAAAGATTACTCTAATATTTTATGTTTTTTTAATGTTAAACTTTTTTTATATGACATCCGGATAACAGGTTCCGATGCTTTTTCCTCTATTGATTCCAAAGCAAGTGACTTTAACAGGCGTTCCATTAATCGTGAAACGAAAATCAGAGTATTCCATTAAAAATATAGCTGTGTATACGGCTATTTCATACTCAGGTGACGTACCAATGAACGTTGATCCTATTGATTTTACTGAATTATGCCACTTAAACCGACTCATTAGAATTGATGTGCTCTAAAAATAAATGCAAAGAATAGTAATAATAAACAAAATAATTTATGTATCTCATTGCTTTTACTAAATTATATCATTTACTCCACAATAATTTATAAACGCATCACAGAATAGAAGCTGAACCTTTTCTTGACATCTTAAAAAAAAGAGAATCTTACATTTCCTTGTTTTAAATATCCTAAATAGTTCAGATCATTTTTTTTTTCTTCTAAATACATTTGTATCCAACTGTGAAAACCAGATACTTTTTGAGAAGCTTTATCTATTTCTCCTACAAACACATGCTCAAACCCAGACGAATCTTCAATTCTGTAGTTTAACAAACAATGTTTATGCCAAAGCAAATGTTTAAAAAAATATTAGACATAATAGCAAAAAAAGGATTGCAATAAAATGGTTTATAAGTTTTATCTAATAAAGGTTAAGATAAAACTTTTAAATAAGTGCATTAAACTAAAAAGCAAAACGAATTTACTTTGTCGAAGCTTTTCTGTAATAAGGTTTAAACCATAGTTCATCTAACTTTTGACGAAAGTCATTCAAGCTGTTACCAACTTTCCCTTTCAATTTTAGAAACTTGTATACTTCTTTCATAATCTCACTTTCTAATATTAATCGAAGAAATTCATCTTTTTCATATGCTTCTGTATTTGTAATTAGTTCGTTTTCGCCGATATTCTTGCAGTAGTTGTCAAGAAGTTTGATAAAAGCTATAAATAGATAATACAAAAAATAGTTTTTCAGAAAATCCAACTTTTTTTAAATCTTTTTTTAAAATGGTCAGTGAAATTTAACAAAAAAATTTATTTATTTTCTACCTTTGAATGTTGGTTTTTCTAATACCAAACTGTTTATATTTGCAAATAAGGGTCGCATAGCTAAATCTGTAACAGCATTTTCATTCCAAGACACGCGCCCTTGAACGGATATTTGAATTTCACGCCCGTAAACAAGTCTGTTTTTATCTAGTTGCCATAGTTTGTTTAGTAGTAATAATAGTTGTTGATCCTGTGGAGGGCTATTTGAATTTCTAAAGATAATAAACATTCGTGTTAAGCCAGTTAACTAGAAAACTCTATTTGAACAAACAGAAAAAAAAAGATTACCAACGGCTAAAATGATTGCAACATTAATTGTTTGACTTATTCCATTATTAAATATAAAATATTAAAACCATACCCAGCAAACATTGTAATACGGAATTTCAGTGGACCTATATTGGCATTTTGAGCCGTCTACTGCAGTTTTGCTCATCGGTTTCTTAGTGGCCATTTAGCAGCTGTTACTAATAGTTCAATAAGTAACAGATGGGCAAAACTCCAATGAACCGCTCAAAATGTCTATATAGGTCTACTGCAAATCCGCTAAAACAATGTTACGTAAAAAAAAAAGGTCCTCGTTTTCCGACATTTACCGACTGCCAACAATAAATCCAATTTTGCCGACTACAGTGTCCACATGCCGACTAATAAAATTCGTAAGGGGGCTAGACACCCCTTGATAAGTTTTATAAGTAAGGATCATTTTGATTGTCAAGCTATAAAATGCGTATAGGTTACAGAATATGAAAAGCTACGATAGACTAACATTGGCAGAGTGTTACGCTAACCTTGAAAAAATTCAAACATTAAATTAAATCTTGAAATGCGAAACATGCATGGTACTAACCTTAGCCCGATAAATAACCACTCAATACACTATCAATCAATACGCTACATAAACTTCCACGCTACATAAACAACCACTCAATACGTATCAATCAATACGCTACATAAACATCCACTTGTGTCAGCCAATATGCAACGCCTACAATTTAACGCTAACATCAGCCCAACGTAATTCCAACCTTGTACAACATTCACAACGCCGACATTGTTCCAATTAACAGCCAATCATATGAGTTGAGCCAACTAAAATGAGCGAATTTAACGGACTCGAATTCATTTACCTATCAGTAATATTAACAAAAAGTTCTTTTTATCAAAAAAACCCAGTTCACAAACCAAACTAAAGTATCTAAACCAAATATAGGAGCTTATAAATCTTAAAAAATTCAGTTTCTTTTTTAGTGATTGGTGTAAAAACCTTTAAAAATAAAAACATTGTAAAAAAAAAATCTTGATTTTTATTATAAGTCTAACATTTGCTTAGACTGATTTAATTATATAATATATATTAATTATAATTATACTATATTAAGAAACTTTTTTTAGCGACAAATTATTAATGTGCTCCAAGAAGTTATTGCTTGTCACACCGCATTGCGTAAGAACGTTTAACCATGAAATTCACACCTAATTCCTTACGAATGTTGCAAATATGGCCGAAGCAATAGGCTTCGGCCATATTTGCTCTAACTCCTGCAACGCGGCTTCTAAGCAAAAAATATTTTTATACTTCAGTCACACTACAATATAATGGATGAATGAGGCTGAATGTGCTTATCCTAAAAAAAACAGGCGGGGCTGTTTTAATCAAAAATATACGCAGCAATGATTATGTACTTTGACAAGTCTGATCGGGGGATTTTTATATGAATCAGTTTTGGTAAGGTTAGGTCTTTTATATTGCCAAAACCCTTATATAATGTATGTACACTTTACTGCGCCTATCAATTAAGTTCGTTTTAAATTGAATTGAAGTTAAATCAACAATTAAAAAAACAATAATTACAAAAGCTCTAGATAAAAAAGCCAACTAATAAAAAATAAAACAGTCTTAACCTTTGAGGTTTTTGAAGGTGTACACCGTCTGAAAACATTTAAAAAAATGTTAAATGCATAGAAATTTAAAACTTAAAAATTAAAATTAAAATATATTGAAAATCTAATAAATTGAAAATAGTTAATCTAAAAATAATGTTTTTTAACGTTTTCGTTTTTAAAATGTTGCAAAATCTTGTTATTTCATAAAAATAAGTTTCAAAAAAAAAATTATACAAACCACATATGACAGCAAAAAAAATGCATAAAGTAAAGTGGAACTTCATTTTTTTTTATTAAATAAGTTTTAATTGCTGTTCCAGTGTCAAACCAATAAAAGATAATTTATATTATTTTCTATAATCTTCAATATAAAAAAACCCACAGTAAAATCAAAATAATAATAAAGTTTATTCAGGAAGATAAATAACTTGTTTTTGAGTTTTTAAAAAACATAGATTAACCGTTGTTAGTACAAAGCTAAATAAATACAGTTTTTTTTATTTTTTGTACATACACTTTGAAGCAATATTTAAAAAGAACTTTCACTAGCGAATTAATTAAGGAGACTGAGTTGGAGATTAATGAGTGCGCTAAATATATGAATTAAGGAGACTGATTAGGTAAATGTTAAATAGGGATTTCCAAATAAAAACCACAAGCTTTAGTAAAGATATCAACAAACTTTATAAAAATACTCTCGTTTAATTGGGAACAATTTTTTGATAATGTTTTGAATGATTGAAACATTTAATACAAACTTGATTCAAACTTGATTTTTAGTGTGAAAAGATAAAATCATATTTATTTCATTTATTATAGTAGTTTCAAACCTTGAAAAGTCTTCATCAAAAAATACTATTAATAACATTTTAAATTTGACAATTTTCTAATTAAGCTTTAATTAATAGCTAACCTTTTTCAAAAGAAAACTTACTAGCTACCACCCAGCCAGCATTTGGTCCTAGTAAGGTCTAAATGCTGGCTGGGTGGTAGCTTTTATTGTTCCTTTTATTATTAAATATTTATTATAGTCTATATATGTAAGTGTATTATTATATATATATATATGTATATATATATATATATATATATATATATATATATATATATATATATATATATATATATATATATATATATATATATATATATATATATATATATATATATATATATATATAAACTTCAATATTTCTTTTCTTTATGTAATTATTTAAATATCCGTAATAATCAATATAATATAATGATAAATGTAATAATAATAACAATAGTTATATATATATATATATATATCTTCTTTCGTATATGTTAAGTTAAACAAAATAATTACAAAGCGTAAGTAAAATTAAAAAAACCCTAACGTTTGTTTATCTAAAAAGATACTTATCAATAAAATCAGAAATGTGTTAATATTTTCCCATAGATTCTTTGAGGTCTTAATATAAATTCAACCAAAAATGTGTGATTTAGCGAGTCAATTCAAATTCTTAAACTAGTGTCGCCAAAATAATAGCTCTCCAATTTTTTTTTTCAAATATTTTTTTATAGTAGTCGAGATATATAATCGAAAAATCCAAAGCATACTTATATAACATTATTTTTTTTGTTTGTTTGTTTGTTTTTTGTTTTAAGTTTAAATTTATAAAACTGTTATAATTTCCTAATGTAATTGTGTTCGTATTTCCATCTAAAAATACGAGCGCTATCAAATAAGGAAGTTATAACAAATTTGTAAGCTTAAATTTAAATTTATATTTAAAAATGAACTTTGTATTTGTTTTATAATTAAAAATCTTTGTCGAAACACAAAGCTTATTTTTAATTATCAAACATTTTTGTTGGAAGAATTAGTTAATTTTTCATTGCTAATTGATGCATAAATATAGTTATAATATCAAAAAATGCTATCTTAAAAAGAGCAAAACTTCTACATAAAAAATTTACTACATAAAAAATTTACAAAAAATCAAAATATTTTCAAAAAATTTATGGTATTATAAAAATTTGGATAAGTTTTTAAAGTGAATCAAATAATTTTTTTTTTTTTTTGAAACATTAACAAGCATAACAAAAAGAGAGTGATTATTCTAATTTCTTTACATTTATCAGGTGGTGAGATTTGTTGCTAGGACACGTCCATGACGACTGGCGTTGTGCAAGTCTCGGGCTCCCCAAAACGTCATTGGTAATCGCAGTGCATTCCTGAAGAGGGGAATTGCCATTTATCCACTACTTAATTCTATTTGGTTATTGTGGCACAAACATTTTTTTAACTCTTGCACACATGAATCTTAGCCCTTTGTGAGCTTTATGTTATATATTTGTTACATTTACGATATTTATATACTTTGCTGTTACACAGGTGGTTATCAGTTTTCAATTTTTTAACTAGTGTTTAGACCATGAAAAATACCATAATTAAAATTTTTTTTTGGAAAATTGCATTTCAACACTATGGTGGATGTGCGCTGAGTCATAAACTAAAGAGTTTAAAGTTCTAACCTTAAAATTTTATAATCTACTTATTTTATTTTATTGTTTTGTATTGTACAATATTTTTAGTAATGGTAGCAATTAATACACCAGCGGATTTATATTGATTGTAGATGATGTCATTGCAATGACATCATTTACAATCAATATAAATCCGCTTGTACGGAATGATGTGACCGATGGAGCCGTCCAGTTACGTAGACCTGGGAGAAGTAGTAATAGAACCAGATTGTAGATGATGTCATTGCAATGACGTCATCTACAATCTGGTTCTATAACCACATCTCCGAGGTCTACGTAACTGGATGGCTCCATTGGTCACTTTTTGTGATCATTGTCTTGCATAAACAATTAAAAAAATATTATTTGTAGCTGGTGAGCCCCGACTTCATCCAATGTAAACTACAACAACAAAATGGGCAATAGGCTATCCCGCTGGATGTGGTTACAGCACTCAATAGCCTAATGACTACGCTGACACTCACGTACACGTTTATTCGGAAACTCCACAATGTACGTCAGATTAGCGCTTGCTGACTGTGTGCTTGGATCTAAAATCACACATCATAGCACATCATTCCACTCTAGTGCGGGGTTGTAGGTCTTTTAGCTAAGAGTGACTAATGTGTAATTTGATCAATTGAAATCTATTCTGTAGATCTAACTTCTGGCTCTGATGTGTTAGCCCATAAGCGCAAGAAGTGAGTCTGTTTAGCTTTCTATTCAACCGATTTGAAAGTGGGCGAAAACATGATGAGACCATACCAGACAACCGAATGGAACATAGTAATGCACTACACAATCACACCTATAGACATCAACAGTCTCTAAAATCAGTAAATCAAATATTTGTTCTTTGTTGCATATGATTTATACACAGAGTGACTAGAGAGTTAGTTGTTTCTCCTCATGCTGACTGAGCACCTAACTTTGTGCTTCTACATCACAAAAGTCTTACCTCTCATTTTATATTTTCTTATGATTTTTTATTTTTTATTCAACGACACCATCTACAATATGTTTTTATAATCACATCTCCCAGGTCTAGTGGCGGATTAAGACTTCTTGGGGCCCAGGGCTATTTTTGTTTTTGGAGGCCTTTTTATGGGCCTAGAGCCTAAAAATGACTAATAAAATTTCTTTATGTTTATTAAGTGTAAAAAAATTGCGTATATATTTATTAAACCATTTAACGGTACACTATTTCTTTACCATGCGTTGTTTTTGTTTTTTATATCATTTTAAAATAACTTGCAAATAATTGGTTACGTATTTGAATGCAAATTAAATTATTTAGCAATTTATTTAACTTAGACGGGGCACACCGTAATGGAAACGATTTTTTTTAAAAAAACTCCAACAGAAAACGATTTGGATTCTTGAAACCATCATAAATTGTACAGAACTAAAGCACTTTAACTCTTATTTGAATATGGAGTACCTACCTCTGCCAAAAATTTATTTGTACCTCGAGTACCTACCTCCTTCACAAACTTTTATTCAGACTTTTAGTTTTTATAATTCATTTTTTATATAAATTTCTTAATTTTAAGTTTGAAATATTAAAATAATACTAAAGGTTTGCCATACCTTTGTTCAGTTTCGTTTTCGAATTTCCTTTCTGTTTGTGAGAGCGCAGGGATGAATTTTTTTGAAAAATAAATATTTTTTTAAAAAAAGATTACTTCATTCTACACTCACGTAAGGGAGATTACTTCATTCTACACTCACGTAAGGGAGATTACTTCATTCTACACTCACGTAAGGGAGATTACTTCATTCTACACTCACGTAAGGGAGATTGAAATATGAAAGTTGATGGTTAGTTAAACAAATACCTAATTAAAAAAAACAACCAATAGTTACAATTAAAAATCAGATTAGTAATAATAATTAAAAAAACAATCATTTTATAAAAAATATATTGTTTAATTCTTGTGATAGTGTAGAGTTAATGAAAGGTTCTGGAGGTTGAGTTGTCACTTGTGCGGCACTTTTTAGTGCTAGAAAAACTCCGTACTTTTTAAACTTGCTTTGTTTTTCATGTTTGATAAAGCCGAACCTTACATAATTTTTACTCTGATTGCAACCACTATTTAGACGGCAGTTTTAACACTTGATTTGATTTGCTGTAACTTTGGAGTTAATTTTAGAGTTAATACTAAACGTCGTATGCTGATACTAGATGTTGTTGGTGAAGATTTAGAAGGCAGTGTCTGAGATTATGTATGGTATTGGTAGTGATGGTGGTAGTGGTTAGAGTAGCATAGATTTTTTTAATGGTTGAAATAAATATGGTTCAGAATAATATAGTTTCGAGTGAAGCTAGTTGAGTAAATCTTTACTAAACCTCACAAATCTTATTAGTGTTGCGTCGGTTTTACATAATTTTTTTACTTTTGGAAAGATAATTTAACCTGCTAAAAAATAAATTAAGGAAAAAATTTATTTTTTCATTTGTTTGAGAAGATACTGGCTAAAGCTTATCGAGCTGTTCAACCTACCCCAACGGGGTAAGTTGAGCAGTTATGAAGGGCAAGTTGAGCAATCATAAAATAAATGAAAATGCATGATATGGAACTTGGATCAATAAATATATATATAATATATATTTATTATAATTAACTTTTTATATAATACACTTTAATTACGTAAGATAAAACATTAAAGTATTTTTTTATATAACTATTTTGAACTTTGTCCAATTAAAAAATCTCCAAGTCAAATTAAAAAATTTTAGTTGGACTTCAAAGACTCATTTTAAAAATATGTATACAGAGCCGTCGACACCAGGGGGACTGGTCTTCCCACTATTTTTGTAAAGGACCTTTTTTTTTTGAATTTGTTAGATATAGAGGACTTTTTTTAGAAATTGTTGTCGGCCCAAATATATATATATATATATATATATATATATATATATATATATATATATATATATATATATATATATATATATATATATATATATAATGTACTCAAAGATCTTATCAATGTTGCTTTTCTGTGTTCGATAGTTTAGTTCTATTTATTTTTTTAAAGAGAACAATAAGATTTCGAAAAAAAAGGTTAATTATAGTCAAATGTTCGATAAATTAGTAAAGTATCAACACTTAAACGATGGCAAATATAAAAAATTATAAACATATAAGAGAAAAATAGCAATAGCTTTTTTTTTTTTACCTTTTTAGTCAAAAATAGAAAAATTGCATCCTACTCGATAGCCAACCAATAACTTTTTGTTGCGCATTGTGTTACCAAACAATAACTTTTTGTTCATTGCTACCATTTAAATTCCTTAACTTTCATTCATTAGATGTTTTGTAATGCAATGCGTACTTCAAAGATATTTCAATTTCTCAACTTGCCCCTATGCTTAACTGGCTCCGTTCTATCTTAATGGTGTTTCAAACTTTACAAATTTTGAAATTTTGACTGATCAGTTTTATTGATACCGAGTGGAAGCAAACTAGTATTTTGAAACACAGTAGATATTTGCGAGTGAGTAAAAATTTTACCAGTCCGAGTAAAAATTTTATCAGAGCTTGTTTTTATTGTAAATAAGTACACATATATAGGTAACTCCGTCACGTGTCCATCTACAACTAAAATATGAATACATGTAATTGGATAACTATGATAAGTATCATTGGTCAGTTTGAACATAATTAATAATAATTTGCTAAGTTAACAAATATTTCATTTAACCCCTTAGTTAACTGTTTGGGTTTTAAACTCATAACTTTCATTCGGAACAAGTAAATCTAGTTTTAAAATAAGGTTCTTGACTGGCGTAAAAAGATTTCCAGGAATACATTTTAAGTTCACTAATAAAAAACTTTACTTACGTAAGTTTTTTGCTTAAACTATTTGCAAAATGTTTATACAATTTTTGCTATTAATTATTTAATAGCAAAATGTCATAACTATTTCATTATGTCTTTATTCTTTATTTTAGCCTGTTTTAACTTTTTAAAACAAAAATTATTTTCAATGAAACTTTATCATTATAGTTAAGGAAGACATGTCAGTTGATCAAAGAACTTTGAAATTTTGTGATAAGGATCTTTGAGCAGCTATATTATTTGTTTAAATCAGGCAAATCATCCTGTATATGAAGTAAAAAAAGAAAAGAATGAAAAGGGATATATATACATTTAAAAAAATTTTTGTTCAGCACAGCCTCCAAATCCTTTGTGTGATGGCTCCACAAACTTCTTGGTTTAACTTTGGTTCAACCAAAAAGTTGTCTATTATATTTTATTTGTAAGAATCAAAATTGATTTACTTTTCGAATAATAAATAAATTCTAGATAAAAATGCATAGTTTTAATACAAAAATTCTTTTAAGTATATTTATTTTTACATAGTAAAAAATTATTTTAAATAAGTTAAATTAAAGATTGAGAGTAGATATCGAAGGTTGGAAACTTTTATTTGGTACAAAAGAGTGGTTAAATAAAGTTAATAAAAGGTGGGTATCAAAGAGATGATACCAAAGGATGAGTACCATTTTTCTTGCATTTATATGAGTTAATAGCAGTTAGGAGATAAAAATATTTACAAACTATGTATATATATATATATATATATATATATATATATATATATATATATATATATATATATATATATATATATATATATATATATATATATATATATATATATATATATGTATAAAACTATAATTTTAATTTTTTTGATTGAGACCGAATTTTTTTTCACTTATGAGCAAAAAATTACACAAACGCCATAAAAAAACCAATAAAATTTACACTAATGCGATAAAATTCGCACCAAAATTTACACTAATACTAAAAAATTGCATCAATGTTACAAAATATTACTTTTGGATAGTTGTCAATAACCTAAGAAATATTTCTTTTTATCTGCAAAGTCTTTTGTAAGTCTTTGAGCGAAGAAATCTGGGTAAACAGTCTCTATACATAAGATTAAATATATAAGCTTGTGCAGACTTGAAAAGATCTTCGTGAGCTTCCTTTAATCCTTTCTCTATTTCAGCTTTGTGATTTGCGTTTAAACTAACCTAAAACAAAGTAAAACAAAACAAAAAAAAATTAAAAAGTGATTAGTGAACTACTAAACAAATATTTGCAAATATGCTTTTGTTAAAGTTAACCTTTAAAAACGTCTTTTGTCATACATAAAAAAAGTTAAACTATTCCGTTCATATACAAAAAATAATAATATTTTTTATCACTAAAATTTAATATTTAAAACTTATTCTAAAAACATCTATATATTAAAAACTAATTTATTTTTAGTTTATATCTAGCTCTCCCCCTAACAGAGCGATTAGATATGAACCTTCCCAGCAATCAATTAGTCTAAAAATGACGTCTTTTAGATGTATAAAAAACGTCTAACGCATATAAAAGACATATTTAAGACGTTTTTTTTAGACTAAATGTTTGCTGGGTTTTGGGGCCACCTTTAATCTTTCGCAAATGTTTCCTTAACTTTTTAGGTTTTGTTATTACCTCAAAGGGCGAAGTATTTGAAATAAAGTTGTTAAAAAGCGATAGCGCTTTGATCTTTCTTTCTGATAACGTCATTGTTTTGTATTGATCAACCTCAATCCAAAATCTTAGATTCTCATCGCTGAATTGAGAGTGCAAAAAATCTTGAAACACTTTCCGTCCAACTAAATTTAATAACAAGAAGATATTTAAATAAGCATTAAAATTAAAGTGAGTTTAATCAACTTCTTTTACTTCAATTTATTCTTTTTACAATTTTGAAGAAGCTTAAACTAAAACATTTTTGCAAAGTTCGGAACTGTTAAATATCATAATATATTGTATAATAAAAATATTATTAAATTAATTTTCAACTTTCACAGTTCAGAATTACTTACTTGGATGGTGTAGCATTCCTTCAAAATTCACTGACCAAGTTTTAGCTTCTCGACGAAGACTTTTTCTATATATGTAAAAAAAAATCTCATTTAATAGTGCTAACCCACTTAAACATGATAAAAATCATTTTATTTGAAATTTCAATTTCATATCATTGTAATTGAGCAGCGAAAATGAGAATGACAAAAAAACCAGGAATGTTTTAACGTAGTGAGTTTTTAAGTTTTTAAAAAAACCAGGAATGTTTTAACGTAGTAAGTTTTTAAGTTTTTAAAAAAACCAGGAATGTTTTAACGTAGTGAGTTTTTAAGTTTTTAAAAAAACCAGGAATGTTTTAACATAGTGAGTTTTTAAGTTTTTAAAAAAACCAGGAATGTTTTAACGTACTACGCTTTATTACGCTTAAACTTACTAATTTTCTTTTAACATAAATATAGATTATAATTTATAATTAAATTAAGGTCATTATTCGATTTCTCAATTAAACAGGCTCTAAATAATTGTAGAGGTGTTGAGATGAGTAAACTTCTTTTAAAAAATGGTTTATCAAGTTTTGTTGAATAGTGGAACTGTATCAAAAGTATTTTAAGTGATTTTGCAGATGAGAAACAACTTTTTTGTATTGTTTTTTAACTATTTTTTTAATCATTTTACTGATTTAGGATATGCAAAGTAAATAATTTGGTATTCTCTTAGCAAAGCTAACGTTTCGGTGTTCTCTAAGCAATGTAAACATTTTGGTGTTTTAAGGCGAGACTAACCTTTTGATATTTTCTAAGCGAAGCAAAAGTACAGAGTATTGTTTTTGGATATTTGGAACAACGAAAAATGAGGAAAAGAAAATCTACTACTGTTTTGTCACTCTTGTCTTGGTATATATAGCATTTTTAGGGCTAGTTAATGTTAAGGTATGCGAAATAGACTATATTGGTTTGCAAAAAAAATATTGAGCAGCCGTGGCGCAATGGTTAGAGTTTTGGCTCAGAACCCAGAGGTCCCAGGTTCGACGCCAGCTACAGCCCAACAAGCGACATTGGTACGGAAAGAGGCGTGAACTTCCTGTTAAATGCTCTCCCGCGGTGCTCTATGATAAGACCGTAAGGACTTCTTGGAGCACCTAAATACATACAAAAAAAAAAAAAAAAAAAAAAAAAAATAGGAATGAAAATTAAACAAATTCATCAACAACAGATTAAGGTATATCGCAGTTACTTTGATGAAAAAATTTTCAAGAAAAATAACTACTTTTGATTTTGCTAAAGAACTTTATGAGCAATAAATTTTAATAAAGTAGACGCAGTTTCTGTAACTTTTTTTCTTTATTTGCAGATCTTGTCTTTAAACGCTCTTTTATTGGTCAATAGTTGAGCAAATGATTGCTAAACCTTTCAGAAGTTCTGTAACTCCATCTAATAAGATAAAGTTTGAAACATTTTCTCATTTTTAAAACTTAAGGTTACGTGATCTTTCAGAATTATTGCCAACTATTAACATGTTATATTTTCTTCATGTTATTATGGAAAGTTTTGATATTGATTAAGAAATCTGTGTAAATATAAATTAATAATAAAGATAAAATTTTCAATAAATAATAAAAATAAAAACAAACACGGCCTCAAAAAAGACAAGGATATAAATATTAATACTATATATAAATACGAAAACAACCATTATGTTAATAAAACATTCATTTACATTTTATTAGTCATTTTTATTAATATTCTAGTTTTCATTTTGTTATAATAATGTTTTTTCTATTCGTTTTTTGTAAATGTTATATAACTTTTGCTTTACTTATTATCTTTATCAAAATAAAAAAATAAAAAAATAAAAACAACCAATATAAACATAAATATACGTACAAGCATTGAAACAAATATATAAAATATTATGCACGTTTTATACGTTTTATATGTTTTTAGTATTTTTCATCGAAAGATCGCGGTTAATTTTTTTTTTTACCGCGTTTAGCTAGAACAGGCAAACCTCAAACCTCTTGATTCGAAAGCCAGCGCTTTAACAATAATGTTTATATTCTTTTGAAATATAAAAATTACGGAAAAAAACCATGCTTTTTAAAATAGTGGGTTATTAAGGAGAATTATAGCGTGTTATTAAAAAGTAATTTCAGATTAACACTTTAATCACAAAGTCACATTACTAATAATTAATGGCTAGTAATTATAAAGTAAGTAAGCTTTCATTCAATCAATGCGAATCTATCATAACTAATACAAAAAACATTTATCAATAATCGGTAAGAACATAAAACACAATAACTTTACTTCTCATTTCGTCTGAACAACTTTCTTACACCTGCCATTTTTACAAGTCATTCGAGCGTAGTATAAATCTTTTGTTTTGACTAACTAAATTATTAGAAAGAAAATCTTCATAAGTGTAATATTATTAAGTTTTATACACAAGTTCTTTGAAAGGTTCGTATTGAAAAGTTTGTCGGGTGTTTTTAATCAAAGTTTTAAAAAAGTGGTCTTAAATAGGTCACAATCTATATGAAATATCTGATATATAACTTAAAGACACTGATAAGAGCACTCTCCACCAGACGGGTCTTTCGTAGTAATGCGTTAAATTTCTTTTATATATATATATATATATATATATATATATATATATATATATATATATATATATATATATATATATATATATATATATAATATAATGTATATATATATATATATAATATATATATATATATATATATATATATATATATATATATATATATATATATATATATATATATATATATATATATATATATATATATATATATATATGTATATATTATATATATAATATATAATATATACATATATATGTATATATTATATATATATATAGTTTATAAATTATAAAAATAAATTTGTATATATGAGCTGTTTGTAAACAGTTCCATTTTATTTAGTTATAAAACAGTTCCAGTTTAATTTATTCTATTCCAGTTTTAAATCCAATCGAAACCTCATTAATTGTGTAAAATTGCAATCAATTTGGTAGAAATTATTAGTTTACCCATAATTATAATAACGACATTATATTAGTAAACTATGAACTAATTTATATGAAGTATTATATTTGATATACATCTTAAATCCATACAATATTAAGCGATTTCACACTGCAATATACAATGTTAAGCAATTTCATACTGCAATATACAATATTAAGCAATTTCCCACTGCAATATACAATGTTAAGCAATTTCATACTGCAATATACAATATTAGGCAATTTCACACTGCAATATACAATATTAAGCAACTTCACACTTCAGTAAGCAATATTAAGCAATTTCATACTGCAATATACAATATTAAGCAATTTCACACTGTAATATACAATATTAAGCAATTTCACACTGCAATATACAATATTAAGCAATTTCACACTGCAATATACAATATTAAGCAATTTCAGACTGCAATATACAATATTAGGCAATTTCCCATTGCATTTCCCACTGAAAAAATTAAGAAGAGTCTAGCAAAAAAAGCATAAGTTCTTCTAAACGCTTCCAAACTTCTAAAGATTATGAAAAGGAATTGCAAAATTTAATAACCTTTAACAAAAAAACAAGCTACTACCACACAAAAAAATACAAAAAAAATTTCTGAAGATTTTCTTAAACCTGATAAAACAACAAAAAACTCATTGGTCTTTACAAATAAAAAATTGATTAAGAGAGTATTTATTATGCTCTAAAAAAAGCTTTAAGAAAATTATTATCATTATGCGTGTAGAACTCGGAGGTAATCTAAACATTTTATTGGTAATCTATGTCATTTTATTCAACTTTTCAGTGGGACAATTTAAATGTTAATGAACTCGTTTTGTACTACATAATTAAATTTATTTCACTCAGCAAGATCCATAGACCTAAACTTTATACTTAATATATTATATCAAGAATAGACTTTGGTTTATATGTCTTGCTGGTGTCGTGTCTAATGTCTTGCTAAGTATTATTGTCAAATCAATAAATGATAAACTGATTTGCAGTAAAAACTTAAAAAATATTTAACTTATTCTATTTTATGATATATAATATCATAACTGAGTTTCACAAATAAATTATTTAATATTTCTGAACACGATAACTAATAACTTGAATAAGTTATAATAAAGCTAAAATTAACTAAAAACTTGTCTCATAATAAATATTTCAGTAAATAAATATCAGAAAATGTTTTGTAATTCTAAATAAAACATTTTTTATTTTAAATAACAAACAGGTATAAAATAACCATTCAACACTTCAAACATTCATTACAAATCAAAATTTTTAAAAAATTTAACCGATCAACAGATCAACAATTAAAAAAAACAACAACAGTAAATCAAGTTAAATTTTTTTAACTTGATTTACTGTATATATATATATATATATATATATATATATATATATATATATATATATATATATATATATATATATATATATATATATATATACATATATATATATATATATATATATATATATATATATATATATATATATATATATATATATATATATATCAACACTTCAAACAATTATGGCCTACTATAATTACTGTAATTATAGTAGGCCATGATATATATATATATATATATATATATATATATATATATATATATATATATATATATATATATATATATATATATATCATGGCCTACTATAATTACTGTAATTATAGTAGGCCATGATATATATATATATATATATATATATATATATATATATATATATATATATATATATATATATATATATATATATATATATATATATATATATATATATATATATATATATATATATCAACACTTCAAACATTCATTACAAATCAAAATTTTTAAAAATTTTTACCTATCAACAGATCAAAAATTAAAAAAAACAACAACATTTTGAAATCGGGATCATATATATATGATCCCGATTTCAAAATAAAACACCTAAAAAGCCCCTTAGAGATAGCAAAATTTTAAAGATTAGGTTTTTATTCTTCTTTGGGTTTATTTGTTGCGTGTTGTGTTATGCTTTTTTCAAAA